TTTGTTGTAGTTTTTTTGTTTTGTATTTATGGCCTCATGTAGGCTAATTTCCAGTAGATTCCACAAGAATGAAAGAATGTGTGTATATTTTTGAACTGGGAATCATTTTGATGGGGACTTACAGAAAAATCAATGGATGAATCCTGTACAGTTTAAACACAAAAGCTCTTGTCCAAGTAGAATTCTTCAAAGGATTGGAGATTGAACCATGAAGTTGAGAAACTACTGGAAATGTTTAAATGCTTAGGTTAAAATTACATCTAAGATAAAAATCTGATTTCCTGTTTCTAAGTCAAAAAGCTTACAGTAAGGACCCCAAAGGTTCCTGGAATAATAAACAGCACTTCTAAAACAGCAAGTGGGTGAGGTAAGTGTGGCTGAGTTGAAAGTACAGATTAATTTCCTCCACACCATTCATGTGTTTCAAAATTAAGCGGGAAAATTTCCAACAGAGAGACATAGAGTCTTATTGAATCCAAAAGAATTTTAAGCACTGCAATAGTTTGCAATGTTTTCTTTTAAAGTTTTTTCCACTGCCAAGACAATTATCTAGTTTCCTCAGAGTGCATTAGTTTTGCTGATCTAGTGTTGAGAGCCTCTAAACAGTAAAGCATGGATGAGCAGCAGCTTTTGCAACTTGTGAAAAGCAAGTAGATGGGCGTTGGTCGAAAGAAGCAGGAGACCCTCCCCAGCCCCATTTGCCCTACTTAGTCCTTTCTACTTAGCAAGTCTCAACCCTTCTCTTATTTTCTGAAGGTCCTGGGGCTTAATTAATTGTTCCTTCCTCCTTTCTCATAGTACTCTGAACCTGGCTGGTCAGTATGTCATATTCATAGGTCGCTCATTTTAGACTGCTTCTAGGAATTTGTTGAATGCAGAAGTTATATGTTTTCAGTGTAGTATTTATTCAAAAATTGTTTATTGCATATCTGCCTTATGCCAGGCACTGTGAACACAAAGGTGGCTAAGACACAGCTCTCCAGTTGCTCACAGTTTAAGGAGACAGAAGGACAGTTCTAGGGACTGGGATGGAGCTCAGTGGTGAAGCACTTACCTAGCATGTGTGAAGCCCTGGGTTTGATGCCCAGCCAAACAAAAACAAAACGGAAACATAGGGACTGTTATACTTTGTGTTACTTTCTTAGCTATTGGGAGCACGTCAGAGGGGTGCACAATTGAACTCTTCATAGAGAAGGTGTCAAGTACATCTTGAAAGGTGAGTAGCTGTCACCCAGTTGAGGAGAACAGTGTGGATTAGTGGATAAGGGAAGAAAAAGGGCAAAGAATTTCTGGGTAGAGGAACCAGCAAATGTGAAAATGTATAAAAAAGAGAGGGCAAGGAAGTCACAATAACTCAGGGTGACTGGAGAGGGGTACATATAGGAGACAGATGAGGGTGGAAAGGGACCCAGGGACTGGATCATGAAGGGCCTTGGATGTCACACTAAAATGTTAGGGCTTTATCCTAAAAGGACAAAGAAGAGTCAATGAGTATTTTAGCCAGGTGAATCATTAGCTTACTTGTGATTTAGAGAGATCACCTAGAATTTTGGAGGTTACTGTTAGTCACATAGGCCAGAGATTGTAGATCCAAAAACAGTTCGGGGTGGGGAGCAAAACTTGTGTCAAGAATTTATCGGCTATGAACAGTGAAGAGAAGTCTGGCGTTGGTTGATCCCTGGATTTCTAAACAGTAGCATCAAGGAGAGAGAGTTCAATTCCCCAAGATCAGAAATACAGTTGGAATGGGAATGCTGAGTGTGGGAACTGAGTTATTCCCTGTTGGATATACTGAGTTCAAAGAATCCAGTCTAGAACTAAGATTTCTCTATTAAGGAGATTGTTATGCAGAAGGGAAGTTATCTCTGTGGGCCAGAAAAATCCCACTATGCTGGCCGATGCAGTACTGGATTACTAGTTCCAATGAATCTCACAGAGCCCAACGACAGGGAGCAGAGTTGGCCACAGGGCATAAAACAAATTGTATAATTGTGTGGTTTCTTCATTTCGAGAAAGTGTATGCTGTTACCTTTTCTGCCTATTTTAGAGATTGCTTTACAGATTACTTTCATTCGTATTCTTAAAATGGTGTAGGTATTGTAAAGAACAGTCTAGATGTAAAGTCCAGTATTGTGTACTCTAGACTTTCTAGGATGTGGACCATCTCTGGGGTGCTCCCTGTGTGGCTGTCTAGTCTTGCGCACCTATGTACACTTGCATGGGGTGCCTTGGGAGTTTTGTTTATTATGTTCTTTCTTGGCTTCTACACATGCTGAGAGCTTAGACTGGTAGTGCTGAGATTTCTAACAGCATAGAAAGTGCCTGGAGGGACAGGCATATTAAAATCACAAATTCATTACTTTCTCAAGATGAGGACGTACAAAGTTCCAGCAGCCTTATGAATTGCCTCCAGAAATTATAAGGCAAAAATTAATTCTGCCTCAAAATTTCTCTCCCTCCCCTTCCGCTATTTCCATTTCTATTACCATTGCCAAAAATCAAAAGACAACACCGGCATTTTCTTCTGCAGAGTTCTTCACCTTCTCTATAGAGATAAATAAGTACTAAAGGCTTGAGGTCTATTTTTCATCTTTTGGTCCAGTTTCTAGATTCTGTTTAGGCCTTCTGACTCACTGACATCATGCAGTCTCTGTGGATTTGTAGATTCAGGTTATGTGGAAATAACTGTCTGTTTTCATGGCTGGCATAATGAGAATAATTTAAATTAGTAGTACCTGGCATCTACTTCTCACTGACATTGTGAAGTTAATGAGATGGTGCCTGTGGATCAATTTGTGTTCTTCATCTTCATCTAAAAGCATTTGTTATGTCAGGTTGAGCCAGGCTTGGGTGAAGGACTGTGCTGTTAATGATGCTCATTTCCTTGTCAGTTGTGTGTTTTGAAATCAAGTTTCGGAGCTATTTGCTTCATTCCTTCTCTTGGGGCTTTATTTCCAAATGATGATTTCAACTGACCTTAACATTTTAGTTTGGGCTCTTCGATTTTCACGATAATCTCCTTTTCCACAACTCAAATCAGATATGTGAGCAAAGAGGGATTTTAAATTTCATTTTATTATGTGTTTATTAATGCATTACCATTATACACAATAGTGGGGTTCATTGTGACATTTTCATCATGCACATGATTTGCTCTAGTTCATTCCCTAGTACCACCCTTTCCCCTCCACTCCTCTCTTCCCATTACCTGCCTCTACTCTATTGGTCTCCCTTCTAGTCAGTTTTTAAATTGGTGCATTATAATTATACATAAAGTGGTGTTCATATGTGCACATAGCACAATTTGGTTGATTTTAAAAAAACAAAGTAACCGATTCTTGCTGTGATTAAATAAACCTGTAAATAGTGGACCTCAGAAGGAGAAAGGCCTAATATTGATAAAGGCTATAATATAAAAGTACAGAAGTTAGCTGAGGATCGAGTGGCCACTAAACCATAGGAGGTGTGCAGCGATAATTATGTACTAATTTCTTTCTGTTGCAGTCCAACAGAAATATGAGCGTTCTCAAAGAAGATATCTATAATCCCTTGGAAACAATCCACAGCTTTTCTTTCTTTCTCTTCTTTCCTCTTGCCCACACCCCCCCACCCTTTCTCTCTCTCTCTCTCTCTTTTTTTCCTTTTTCCAGGAGAACCAGGCTGAGAGGACAGCTGGAATCACCTAAAGGGAGGTGAAGGTTGAAGCTTTCTAGTGACTGAGATCACTAAGGAGATGCAAGACAAGACCAAGGATACAACCTTGAGAGTTACACCTGTGCCATGTAACCTGCCTCTCAATTTACTCTACAAACGTTTGCAATGTAAATATTTTGTCCCTTAAATTGAAATACTTGGAAATTATGGTTCATGAAATCCACCACCAAAATTGTCATGATCAGAAAGCTTAAGAAACAGTAATTTCTTATATCAATTGAAGACTTAAAAAAACGTTTTTTGTTCTTTTCTCTAGTAGCTAATTACCACACATGTGAAGCAGTCTAAATCTGCGCTTTATTGTTTTGTTTCAGACAAAGTGAAATTCCAGATGGAAACGAGAGAGGGCCTCTGTTTTGGTGATGTAGCATTTGTTGACATTCCAAGAGCACAAACACATTTGAGAAACTAGCTACTATTAGAAAAAAGGATTTATGATCAACATCGTTAGGCACTGAAATAAAAACAATGGGTATGTAAAGGATGATTGCTGGAAGTTAGATTCTGTTAAGATGTAAATATTGGACGTACTTAGAGAATACATATCCAAAACAAAATGTTGTAAACACTTCACTACTCTGGATATAGGTATTGAGAATGCCAACCTACAAGCTTGGGAGTATCTACATTTCTACTTAATACCCGCCTTTCTATCTATCTGTCTACTCTCTGAGAGCAAGGTCATCTACGTATTGACTTTAACACCCCTTCACAGTGTTTTGAATAGGGCAATGTACACAATGAATGTCCAATACACACACACACATTTTTTTTTTTTTTGTACCAGGGATTGAACCTAGAGGCAGTTAACTGAGTCACATCCCCAGCCCTTTTTATTTTTTCTTTTGAGACAGAGTATCATTAAATTGCTTTGACCTTGTGATCTTCCTGCCTCAGCCTCCCGAGTTGCTGGGACTACAGGCCTGTGCTACCATGCCTGGCTCAATACACATTTTTAAATGAAATAATGTAATTTGCTGTACCATAATTTACTCTTCAATGACTGGCACAAAGTATAAGGGCACAGCTTTATTGCAAATATTTTTTTTTCTTCCTTGAGATTTTACTGGTCCCCTGAGTGTAAGATAGGAGGCAATGGAAGAAACCCAGGAGTGCCGATATCCACAAGGCTTGCTAAGTGTAATGCACAGAAGTCTTCATGTGAGGACACACGACAGTCTGTGGAGCTCTCACAATGGCAGCTGATGCTTGAGCTGTTGATGACAGCCCAGCTTTTGGTGTTTCCTCTTTTGCAAAAACAAGGAAAGGAAAGGAGCCATTCAAAATTATTGGTATGAGTAACCAGATTTTTTGGGGGGTCTTTTATTGAATTATGTATGTAACATTTGCAATGAAAATACTTTAAATCCAATGACAAATTTAAAAAATGGATTAGATGAAAACATCAGAAAATCAAAACTCACAGGCATTTACTGCTGTTTACTTAACAGAAGGCCCACAATTATAACAAGAACATCAGAGAACATAGTATACGAGCTTATTTTAATTTTACATTAATATGTGATAAATTAACATAAACCAATGTCAAAAAAAGTGAATATAGAAAAAATTAAAAAATGTATGTTTGGTTTTACATCATATTCAGAATTCCATTATTTGTTATTATAATTAAGAATGATTATTACTTCATTCCATACAAAATAGTACTTGTTTGACTTATCTATTTGATGAAGAGAACTAACTTTAAGGTTAGAAAATTTTAATTTCTTATATAATAAGCACATGTTCACTTAAATATTCACAGTAGCATTGCATTGCGAGTCAGTAAAAGTACATAATGTATCACAGACTGTTGATTTACAAGGGAAAGCATTAACAGTGCCTACCTGTTGTTTGAAAAGGAATAAAAATGTATTTGTCCTAGATTAATGCATGAATATTCTCCACATTCAAACTGAGCAGTCATCAGATTTTAGCTGGGAAAACCCTTAAGTGCATTTTCAAATATGTGGAGAAAGTTTAACAAATATTTGAACTATGGTTAAATGTTAGTAATACTGCTACCTTAATACTTGATAATCAAATCTTTTTATATAATTACAGAAAATATGAGTTTTCTTAAAATATAATTTTCTTCCCCACTTTTCCTTCCTTGTACTCTCCTAATCACAGAAAGTGTGTGATGAGAAATAAGAGTCTAGAATATGGTTAATTTGGTGGTTCTAGTAATTTTTTTCTCTCTGTATCAGAATGGCTACAGTTTCTTGTATTGCTTCTTTCAACTGTTCAGAAATCAGTAATTATAGTGGATTTTTAAAAAGGAAATTAGATCAGTGAAGAAGATCATTTTTCAGTCTAGCATTTCAATATCAAAGGAATCTACTGTCTATGGTCAGGGTGAGTGAACTTAATAAGTTTCAGGTGGAATATTCCTGGTGAAGGACTGGTTTGGAAGTATCTAAAAAGGTCTGTTGATAATAGCAGCAATGCATTTTCACCAAACCCTCAAATTTTCCAAATTTCTTTTAAAATTAAATTTTAGTCAAAGTTTTAAACATAAAGGCAGAAATAGGATGAATACAAAATGACAGAGAGTGAAAGTCTAAAGAACATGAGATCTAGAGCCACTTATTGACCAAACAATCTTGGACAAGTCATTTGAGCCTTCTAAACTTAGATTGTTCAATCTCTAAACTTCAGGTGGAACTAACACTTCATGAGGATGTTTTAGAAATTAAATACAATATAGGCATGATCTTTACAAAGTAGAATATAGATGTTCTACGTAAATAAATGAAAAACTTGAAGTGGTATTTGTTATTCTGATCACTGCATAATTACCATCTCTGGTATTTCAAAACCATTCTTATAACATTTTGCATATTACATAGAAATTCTACAAAGTACACTGTTTTGCTTTCCCTTGTGTGTGTGCATGTGCATATATATATATATACACACACATATATATATAAACTTTTTAACATAAATGATACCATTTTATGGTGTAGTTCCCATAATGGTCTATACAAGGCCCTTAAAATTAAAAAAAAAAAAGAGGTTTTTTTAAATTTGGTTTATAGTCACACAATTTTATGGCATTTAAGAAAAACACTTTGACAATTTGATGATGAAACTAAATACTTAACCTCCCCCACCCCAAACCCAGCATTAAGAGATCACACCATAGAAACAATTTACCAGAAGAGATACTACTATGGTTTGTTTAGTACAGTCAGTTCATAAATGGTTGAAAGGTAGAGTATTATTAACACAATATGCCAGAATCACCACTTTGCAAATTTCACCAACTTTTAAAAAAACATGGAAATCACTTCTCACAAAGATCATTAACACTAACACATAAGACATTCAATTACACCTAAAGTGAAAATTCAGATTCACAAAACTCAAAATTATTAGATTAAATGTTTTACTTAGTTTCTCCACTAGTCAAAATATACATTTCCTATTATGACAGAGGCCTTTAAAAATTGCCCCCTTTTCTGAATGGAAGGGATATAAGACTAAACTTCTGGACAAATAATCTCAGTATGACAAAATATTTCTGTATTAATCAAATGGATTGCTAGCATTTTAATAATTTCTCTAGTGTCCAAATTCTAGCATTCTTCTAACCTAACCTCTTTATACCATAAAACCAGCATCCAGAATATATCCTGTTTGTCAGTGGGTACAGTTACCTGTTAACTTTGTTGTGCAAAAGCTATTACCCTTCTTTTTTTAACTGTCCGCTAATGCCAAGCAAAAGTGTTTGGGTTATCCCTGAATTTTATTTCTCACTCCTGAGCAAAATTAGTTACAATCTGGCTCTATTAGGCCTCCTTTGTATCCAGATAAATTCGCAAAGTTTTATGTTATACTACAGTCATTGCTTCTGGGACCAAAAGGGGATTAACTTTTAAGTGTGACAAAGATGTACCTTACAATCAGCTATAGTTCATTGGTGAGCACAATATTTTGATTCTGATATGCTAAATGTTTATTAAACTACAAAAATTTAAAGAGTAACTTGAACAGACATTCTGTTTAGGTAACTAACTCTGTATTCCAAGATAAAATAAGAAATCATAAGTAATCTATGGTCAGAATGAAAATAAGATTTACCTTTTTTAATGTCTTGTTGAGGTCAATTAGTAAAAGTAGAAACATGAACATTTGGATTTGCAATCTGTTTAGTCACGTAAGTAGAGAGATGTGGCATCTTAGCGACGGGGGCGGGGGCAACATGTACATGTATGCATAAATTATAGCCATCTTAAAGTGTCGTAGAATTTTTGAAGATAAAAAGAAACAGAGATTACTAGATTTAACTTATTCACTTAACAGGCAAAGAATTTGGGGCTCTGAGAAGTTAAAGGGACTTTCTTGGGGTAATTGAGAGTTACTGGCAGAGCCATTTACCTGCTTAAAAGCTCTCTTGTGTAAAAAGAATCAAGAGATCCCTATTACTCTTTCTTCCACCTTCCCCTACTCCAAACGTAAAATTTTGAGTGTGCAATAAAGCTCTGAACCATTTTAGCATTTCAGATACAATTTGAAAATCACCTTAACATCAAATTATATTGAACATATATTTAACAAATATCTTCCCCACTTTCTAGCTATTAATCTGTTTCCCTTCACCAGTGATTTCTTCTTTACCTTTTCATGTTCCCATTACAGATGAGTAAAAATTCTTAGAGGATAAAGAATCCTATTTCCTCTTCTCACACCCAATTGAAGAATGATCAACTTGATACTTTCAAGGCTTAAATCTTATTTCAATTTATTCTTTTCTTCAGAAATGCAAAAGATAGCATTCTTCAAAGCATTTTTTCAAGAAATGTGCATAACAAGGTTTGGAGGCTGAAAAGGGCTTTGGGGATTACTGAACCAGCACACCTGGCAGACTGAAGCCTAGCAATGGTTACTGTCTTACCTAGGGTCCCACAGGTAGGAAGTGAGCAAGAATTCTGGTCTCCCATTATCTAGGCTGGTACTATTTCCACTCTGTATCTGGTGTGACAGGTTTCTCATTTGATACTATTCTGTGCTTTTACTGTAAAAGTTCAGGTTTTGTCTTTATTTTAAGCTGTAGCTTATGATAATGACTCAGATATGATATATACTATAAGTTGTGCCACTGGTGATTTATGAAGGCAATTTTTGTGTCTATTTTTGTAATACCTACCAATCCTTTCTAAAATATCTGAATGTCTAGAACTCCTATCACACAGTTGATCAGTTTGTTTCAATCGTCCCCATTGCTGTTATAGATTATTTTCTTGCCCACCAGTCTGTGATCGTCAGTTATAAGGATTAAGTTGGCTGCCATGGACTGGCTGTTTCCTGGGACAGTATCTCTACTACATGGGCTAACATAGAAAAAAAAATAAAGTGGGGGCTATATTTTAGTCACAAATCATCATGATTGAAGGTTCACATAGCTCACATTTGAGATAGTTGTCATTCCTTTACTTCACTTTTTCCTATAGTGATCTAGGCTTCAATTTTGATCACAAAGAAATTACCAGCAGATTGTGAAAAATTCATTGTAGACATTGCCTCAAAGAAAGTTACCTGGATTGTACCTCCTATCCATCTGTTTTGTTGCTAGTAGGTGTATGATTGTTTAGTTAATGATTCTTATATATTAATGAAATTCACCACCTGCATTTCCTTCTATAGGGCACCAAAAAGTTTTTAAAATATTGGCTTTGTCACTGAAATAATTTTATGGAAATTAAAATTCCATAAGTGTTCTTATCATAATTTAGCATTGTTATGTATTTAAGTAACAGGAGAGTGGTTATTTATGTGCTTATTCAGATGTATTTTGAAAATAAAATATGGAAATGAAAAAAGTCTTCCATATACTAGATTCTATATACTAAATGTTCACAGTTTGACTTTCCATAAGGCTTATCAAATAATATACAAATAGCTACCATTCTGCTGAAATGTCACAGTAAATACATTGATAATGGCACAGAAGTGAAATGTCCCCAAATAGGAAACGATCTTCATGACCTCCTAAATCTCTTTTCCAACTAAAATCTTGTTTTTTTTTCCTTTTAGTTGAAAAAGAGCTCCATTTCTAAAAGAATATAAAAATAGAAATGAGTCAAGGAATCTTTTCCACTTATAATTTTGAAGGAAAAGCTATAAACATCAGGTGAAATATATAAGTATATATATATGTATATATATATGTATAGCTTTTTGGAATGTGCTTTGTCTCACTACATCAAACATCCCATGAAAATAAAATTGAATTAATACATTATATATGAACTGTTTAAAAGTATCAATTAAATGTTAAAATTTTAGTTAATATATGACAAACATATAGTAAGTACTAATATATTTCCATGATGTTAAGATCAACTAAAACCTACCCATATGACTAATTTTTAAATCTATAATTTTGAATTAAAAAATAAAAGAATGTTTAATTGAGCAAGGCACATTTCTTTTGGGCAAGTCTGTCTTTAATATTATTTATCTGGGCACAGTGTAGACTTCACTTATTACATGTAAATGGGCTGCTCTATGTATGGGAGCCTTTGGTACAAAGCACATCTTTGCAAAATCAAACTTCACATGACTCAGAACACAGAACACAACACATGTATCTCATGATTAAATACAGTCCGGTAATTAATTAAAAACAAAATAAAACAGTAATAGTTAGCTTGTTAGAACCAAACATTTAGATTTTCTTCATCTGTAACACTGATTATAGTTTTCAGATGAATAGCTTTCATCAAAATGTCAAAAGGTTGAAATGGTACCTTATTTAACATTCTTCTTTGTATCTTGACCAGTATCTTTCATACTGCACATAATATGAAGAGAATCCTCCAGCTCTGAGCCATTTTCTTCATGTAAAGCATATGTTAGACACATATTATTTAATGTCAACTGAAATGAAAATATGTGCTGGCAGACATATCACCACCCTCAGTGGTTTAACTGCCACTGCATTCTTGATCCAGGCAATTCAAAACTGAGTATTCCACTGGTTAGTGCTGCTGTACAGTTCTTTATGTGGGGCTCTTCAGGAATCTGTTGAATAAACAAAAACAAATAACCCAATCAATAAATGGGCTAAGGACCTGAACAGACACTTCTCAGAAGATGATATACAATCAATCAACAAATATATGAAAAAATGTTCATCATCGCTAGCAATTAGAGAAATGCAAATCAAAACCACAATAAAATTTAATCTCACTCCAGTCAGAATGGCAGCTATTATGATGACAAACAACAATAAGTGTTGGCGAGGATGTGGGGGAAAAGGTACACTCATACACTGCTGGTGGGACTGCAAATTGGTGCAGTCAATATGGAAAGCAGTTTGGAGATTTCTTGGAAAATTGGGAATGGAACCACCTTTTGACGGAGCTATCCCTCTCCTCTTTCTATACCCAAAGGACTTAAAAATAGCATACTATAGGGACACAGCCACATCAACGTTTATGGCAGCACAATTCACAATAGCTAAACTGTGGAACCAACATAGATGCCCGTCAATAGATGAATGGTTAAAAAAATGTGGCATATATACACAATGGAATATTACTCAGCAATAAAAGAGAATAAAATCATGGCACTTGCAGGTAAATGGATGGAGTTAGAGAAGATAATGCTAAGTGAAGTTAGCCAATCCCAAAAAAACAAATGCAGAATGTTTTCTCTGATATACGGAGGCTGATTCACAGTGAGGTAGGGAGGGGGAGTGTGGGAGGAATAGAGGAACTCTAGATAGGGCAGAGGGGTGGGAGGAGAAGAGAGGGGCATGGGGTTAGAAATGATGGTGGAATGTGATGTAGATTATTGTCCAAAGTACATGTATGAAGACATGAATTGGTGTGAATGTACTCTGTATACAACCAGAGATATGAAAAATTGTGCCCTATGTGTGTAATAAGAATTGTAATGCATTCTGCTGTCATATGTAAATAAAAAATTAATAAAAAAGAAAAGTTCAATCAATTTAATTTCCTAAAGGTATTAACCACATGTCAAACACTTTTAAGTTAGAAAAAATTTCAAATTATCTGAAATTATACATTCTTTTTCATTAATAATGATGCCCAAATTTGATCCAGCCTTGTATGATAACTGGATTTCTGAACATGAAAATTTATCCTCCTTCTTAGAACCATCTGAGAGATTCTGAGTGTCCACTGATTTTTATAAAAATACATGTATTAATCTTCTAAATGTATTTCTGAGGGTATGCTTCTTTTCTGATCATCCTACTATGGTTACCTAAGATGAGAACTCTTCTAAATGGATAGAAAAAAGAGGCAGAGAGAGGGAGAGAGGGAGTGAGGGAGACAGACAGCCAGTCTCAGAATGAGTCCTGTACTGATGAGAGCCATGTTCTAGAGCCACAGGATGCTAGCCTATAGTTAGTTTCTTTTTATTACAAATAATTTTCAAATCTACTGATACTTTAAAATATGACCTCTGCACAGGTATGGGCCACTTTAAAGAATCATGAACTAGAACAACATCAGGTCTGTGGAGAACTAAAAAATAAGGGTGACAGGTTTGGTGCTCCTCCCACAAACTAAAAAAAAATTTATAGACAGTAATTTAAAAAAATATCAGAACATGAAAGTGTTCTTTACTGCTATATCTAGAATCCAGAGTAGTCTTTGGCACACAATACATGCTTTAGATATAAAATGGATGAATACATCCTTACCACTTTTCAGCACCTAATACACAAGAAGTCCTCAGTGAATATACGTTGAATGAATAGAGGATACATTAAAATCATACTTATACACTCGAGAAACTTACCAGTTATATAATATAAAGGATACTTACAAAGACAAAAATAGAATGCTAAATCCAGGCTTCAATATGTGAATATTATCTACTGTAGTAGACAGAGAAGACCGTTTCCCATGTATACTCCTGGTTTTAGCAGATGTCTCCCAACCACATACCCAAAGATGATGATCTGTAATGTGAGTGTGCTTCTAATGGAAATTAAATACTACACACCTACTGTGTGCTGGGCAATCACCTACTAAAGCTTTCCTCATACGTCTGGATTCACTATGAGAGTTTGAAAATTACAATGGCGTAATAGTTATTAAAGACTACTAACAAGAAAATAAAAGTACTATGAATGATCTGGCATTGATGTTACTGCCTGGTCTTTGCTCACTACTGCAATGGTTCTGGTAAGTTACACTTGACCTGCTGGTGTTCCATCCCTTTTATATAAGGGATTGGGCCTTTCTTTTCTAGCCTTCTGTGTTAATACCTGCCTCTCAATGATCTTGATATTATTAAATAAATTTGGTATATTATGGCATTCTAATAGATTATAGGTGTGAAGGGAGTTGTACTTCATCAGAAACCAAAAATATAAGTAATATCTGAATACTAATCATTATGTTTATCCTAGTGGCTAAGAAGTGGGTTGAAAGGAAAATAATGAACATCTGAGTACATTATCAAAATCAAGGGCAGGGGATATAGCTCAGTTGGTAGAGTGCTTGCCTTGAATGTGCAAGGCTCTGGGTTCAATCTTCAGTGCCACCAAAAAAAAAAAAAAAATCACTCCATTAAAAAAAATGAGAGAAAAGAGATATAGTAGAAAATGGTGATCTATAATCAAATATATTTGATCAAATGAATGTTTTAGCATATAAAGCAAGAAAAGAGGATAAGAACAAATTTCAATAATTATCAGTTGTGAAGAAGTTAATTAATTCTCCACCAAGACCTAAATAAAAGAGACTCAGCTTCATTAACTATTGGCCTCACTAATTTGCATTTTATGAGGAAATTGTTGAAGTCAGTTTGAAACATGTAGATTTATGGGAACTTTGTTTTCATGTGTCTATACTGCAACAACTATTAAATTTCTTAGAATTAGCAGCACACCAATAAGTTCTACAAATTCTACTAACTAAACAGTGAGTAAACACAAAGACTAGTAAGATTTCTTGGTCACTGCATACAATTTTCTGATTGGGGTCTAGGAAATTATGTACTTTGGCAGGCAAAATAGATTTAAACTCACTTAGTCATTAAAGTTAGTAATATGCTAAGATGTGAACTTTGTCAAAAGCTGGGAAGTCATGTGTTATGCTTAGATATGAGGTGTCCCCCTCATTGTGTGTGAAACAATGAGAGAAAGTTAAGAGGTGAATGAAAGAAAGTTAAGAGGTGAATGAAAGAAACTTAAGAGATGAATGACTGGGTTATGAGAACCTTAACCCAATCAGTGAAATAATCCTGCTGGGAATTAACTGGATGGTAACTATAGCCAGGTAAGGTGTGGCTATAGCAAGTGGGTCACTGAGGGTGTGCCTCTGGGGCACACATTTTGTAGTGGAGAATCTCTCTGTTTCCTAATTCCCATTTCCCAAATGGCTTTCCTCAGCTGTGCACTTTCTGTCATGATATTCTGCCTCACCTTGGGTCCAGAGATATGGAGGTGGCCATCTGTGGACTGAGACCTCTGAAACTATGAGCCCCCAGATAAACTTTCCCTCCTCTAATTGTTCTTGTCAGGCCTTTTGGTCATGTCAGGGGAAAAACTAACTACAACACCATGGGAAAATGAGCTTTAAAATATAATCAATACTACTTTGAGCAATAATTAGGTTTAGTAATAGGTTTCATTCACAGTTACATGGTAAAATAAATTTCTCTTTTGAAATCAGTTAAATGTTTGCAGGCAAAAGGTCCACAGAACATAAACATAAAGCAAAACAGTTCTTACTTGGAGAAATTACCTCTATAAATCTTGCCTGTCCAGTAATTTTTTTCCCTTTGGAAATCTTATTTAACATGCTTTTCATCATGATTTTTTATAGAGATTGTGTACTAGTGAATATCTGATTTTTATTGTTTGGGAGTCTTACATGAAATAACTAAAAATGCAATGACACTTGAGGTTGTCTCTTTACTATTCAGTGAAGTCCATGTTGAATTAAATAATAAAAATAAATAATGTCACAAATCCCTCATCCAAAACCAGAAAAAAATAAGAAATTAAAGCACTAATTTTAATTCTCTATTTTGTGTCATAAAAAAGCCCTAATCATTTATCCTCAGAATTCCTATGTGGGCTTAACTGATGAACTGATAAAAAGAGAAAAAAAAATCCTAACTTCTATTGGACTACATATAAACTCAAGCATATCAATTTCCAATCTGTTGACACATTTGGTAAGGAAACTGTGCTACTTGGATGTGCAGAGGCAATAGCCAGGTCATTCTTTGGTCTGGTTTGCCTAAGAAATCCAGTAAAGCAGAAATTCAGAAGGGGTGTGGAGAAACTTGCTCTTTACTCATATTAGGAGAATCCTCCTTTCCTGCCGCAGAGGAAAGTACATCTGTCACAATATTACCTAAGATCATGGTGCTATCTGCAGTACTCAAACCAATGCTTTAGTTTCCATCATTCTATATTATACATTTCACTTTTCCAGAGCTTCCAGGAATACCCCAGCACCAACATATACAACTAGGTTGCTGAAGCAGTCTAAGTTTTGCCATTATTGAAGTCACTCCAACAATCTGCACTTATTTTTCATGGGTGAAATGTCCCTCGTCTCCTTTCATGTAAAACACAACTGACTTTTATGGTTTAGATATGAGGTGTCCCCCCCAAAGCTCACGTTTTAGACAATGCAAAAAGTTTAGAGGAGAAATGATGGGGTTAAGAGAGCCTCCACCCAAACAGTGCCTTAATCCACTGACATGGATTAACTGAGTGGTAACAGAAGGTAGGTAGGATATGGCTGGAGGAGATAGGTCACGGGTATATAGCTTTAGGGTGTATATTTTGTCCCTGGTCAGTGGAGCTCTTTCTACTCCCTGACTGCCATGTCTGTCCTAAGCTGCCTTCTTCTGTCACGCACTTCTGCCATGCTGTTCTTCCTCACCTCGGGCAATGGAGTCAGCCTTCTAGGGACTGACACCTCTGAAACTGAGAAAATGAACTTTCCTCCTCTGATTGTTCTGGTCAGGTCTTTTAGTCACAGCAACAAGAATGCTGACTAAAACACCTATCATATTACTTGATAACTGCATTTAAAAGTATTTGGTATAAGTGATTTTATCTGGTGAGGCCGCATCAGTGATAGAGTTTTGTAACATGATTCACTGGTGAATCTCTAATGCCTAATTCAATCATCTTTCATAGTAATGAAGACCTCATGGATTTTTAGGACTCATCATTAACTGAATTCAAATGTGAACGTACAGGCAAGTTTCTTTGAATGTCTATTAGATAGACAAGTCTCTTGGACATATTATTTGTTCTGATGCTGCTGTGTAATGTACCATTTATAAAAAGCACTCCATTAGCTCTTGTGAAGCAGCCTAACTTTCAGGTACCCTTGCCGATGTCTAATGTTTAAGTTACATGAAGGAATTTTATTCCTATAACTGGGTAGTACTGAAGTATGTTTTACCGAATGGAAGCTTCCACAGTCACCTGAACATAAGGAATTTTATCCACAGCACCTTGTAAGGAATATAAGCCACACAGTAATGAAAATGAAGCACAACACAAAAATTTCAGAGGACAAAAACAATTCCAATTGGGACAACCAGATTCTTTCTTTCATAGATCACTCCAATAAATATTGGTTGAATCCCGACTGTATTCCAGGTGCATTTCCAAGTCTTAGGGAATATAGCACAAACAACACACAAAACTTCATGTCTTCGTGGAAGGAAAGGGGAAAAAATGACCATAAAACAAGTAAATGAAATATCTAATATATCAGAGGAAAAATTAAGCATAAAAAGGATACAGGGAATATTATGGAATTGTGATTTTAAACAGAGTGGCCAGGGAAAGCTTCAATGAGAAGGTCACACACCTGAAGGTGATGTCATAAGGTATCAGATTTGATTTCAGAACATTCTAGGCCTTGGAACAGCAAGTATAAAGATTCCAGGGTGGAGCCTGCCTGCTGTGAGGGAACCAGAGTAAGGAGGCCAGTGTGGGTGCAGCACAGGATTACACAGGACAGTGGCAACCAAGGCCCAAAGAGTAAGAGAAGCTGAGTTAGGTGGGGTCCTGCAAGCCATTATACCGCCTTCGGTTTGTACTCTGTGTGGGTGATGATACAAAGAAGTAACATGACCTGACAAATGTTTTAAAAGGATCACTCAGGGTGCCACAGGAAGAAGAGTCAAGCAGAGGAAAGGATGGAAACTGCGGGTGTAAGGTGTAAGGCCACAGAAACATCAGTGGGGATCTCAACAGATTCCCAAGAGACTTTGTGCTCCGACAAGGGGCGTGGGCTTAGAAGTTCACTGGAGGAGAAAAAGCTTCCCCTCCTCACCACCACAAGGGGTATGACCCTTGTGTCTACAGAATCCTGCATGAACAGACTTATTCACAACATTCTTCACCTAGGATAAAATATCATTTTTAACCATCTAATTGCTATATTATTTATTAATGATTAGAAACTCAGTTTTTTTTTTTCTTTTCAGGACAGAGTTCCTATTCTGCACTATTTAGGTTACAACATAAATAACATGGTTCCCAAGAAAATGATGGAGCCTCTTTTCTAGGTCTCTCCTTTAAGGCATTTGATAAGAGATGGTACAAATTTGAAATCTAAGGAGGAAAAGTGAGAAAAAACCATGAAAACATTTCTTTGTAAAATGTATATTTCTTTACAATTTGGAAAATTAGTTCACGGCATCATTAAAAACCAAGGCATCCAGCTATCAACCTTCGAAAACTAGTCTGAATCATTTAGTTATATTTACAAGCTGAATATGAGTATATAAAGAATACTGATATCATTTTTTTTTTTTTTTTTTTTTTTTTTGCTATATAGCAATGGCCATTCTCTGGCAGGAAGTTGAGAGCTGAGTCACAACAGTGAGGTTGAGCTCTCTGTTACTTCTCCTTCCTTCTTCTTCCTGCCTCCTCTGATTTACCATTTTTTTTCAAAGGTTGCCAACCACTCCCTGAAGATGTTTAAAAAACAAGTGATTTCATATATATATTTGCCACAACCAATTACAAAATAGAAAAAAAAATCCTAAAATGTGATCCCTAAATATCCTCTCTTCCCCGTTCTCATGCTCCTCACCTCTAACTCACAGTTTTCCGTAAGTCTTCAGACTGGGGGATACGTGTGCTTCTCTGCATTTCTTAGTGGGAGGGGTTATCACTTCTATTCACAGCTGAGAGGTGGGAAGAGCTTGGAACTGCTGCAGAGAATGTTGAAATTTTAAATGTATAGAAGTCAATAAATTAATAGTTATGGTTCTCACAGGAGTAAACTATTGGTATACACTCTATATGTTGTATTTAATCTACTATCAGCAAAGTAATCACTTGAGTAGGTTGTAAAGAAGCAAATAGCAAGTTTTATGTAATAACAAGTTTTACGTAAACAAACCATAACTTCAAATTTCTTCAGACTGTGCATTTAAAATTTCAATTCTGAAATTCTATTTAGAAGTTTAGAAATAACTGATAGAACATTTTCTCATCTGTGTAGGTGTCTATGGTTATGTCACCATAGTTGGTGGATATGTGAGTTTGGTATAACTTTAGTTCAGAACATAAAAAATAAAATAAAATCATAACAAGTGTTAGCTTCCATGTTTCTTTCTGGATTCACCAGCTGCAGGACACATACACCCCCACCAGGTGCTGATGGATGTGCCTGGATCCAGTCATACCCCTTACCAGAATCTCTTACTATACACTGACATATGTTTACTTTTTCAACCCCCAAAACACACAACTGAGCTCACCAGTGAAGCCTGTAGTTCGGCAAAGCTAACTGGCATTGGCAAATGTGACTCATTAGCATTTTTCTCTAAGCCCAAATCATGATCTACTTTTATTTCATAAATGACTTCGGACTTTAGTGAGGAGGCTACAGCTAGTACGTGTGGCAAAATTATATCCTAATGTTTTTTAGCACACAGATTCTCTTAAGGATCCAGGGGGTGGTTTTGTAAAGCAATAATGTCACACATTTCAAGGAACTGGCAATCTCCTTTAGCTTTCAACCCTCCTGTTCTGAGCAATTTCTCCCTTTATAAAGGGAGAGTCAACATGTTTACACAGCTCTCTGGCGTGTTTCTCTGGTCTTCAGTAACTTAAGCAAAATGTAAGGAGATGGAAAAACAATAAGTTGCATAAGACTATCTTCGATTGTTGATTAAAACACATGAAAACAGGAAGTTTATCTCAAATCTGATAAATATCCATAGTCTTAGTAGGTGTCACTAGTAGACTGATTATGCTTTCTAAGATTAAATCCAGATAAACAAATCATAAGAAAATAATCTTTTACTACTAGAAAAGTCCATATTTTTATTCAATTTAAATAATATATTTGATCCTTCTGGATAAAAAATCTGATTATTAAGAAAGGGTTAATTTTCATTTACTGAATGAATAGGTTTCTGAAGTATTTTCTTTATATAAATTCATTCATTAGTAACATGGGCTGAAGTCAAACCTAAAAGCATAAGGGGCTTATTGCTATTTTATGTTTAAATCACTTAATATAAGTCATGGGTTTTGGAGCCAGAATGACCTGACTTTAAATTGTCATTGGATCTCTTGGAGTCTTAGGGAAATCATTTAACTTCAGCCATCTATTTCTCATCCTCCTAAAATGAAGTTAATGGCACTTACCTTGCAGAATTGACAACTGTCCAGGGCTTGGTTGACCCTTAACAAATGGTAATTATTACTGTTATTTACAAAGGAAACGGGAAGCCATTGATTATTTGTGTATTTCATATTCACAAAGCTTTGCATTAATCACACAATGCTTGTGAGTAATGATCACAAAATATAATCTTAGCAAAATCTCTGATGCATTCCATGCAATTATTTTTTTAAGTGCTCTGTGTTAACATGTAATATTCACAAAAACATATAAAGTGCTACTTACAATCCTCATTTTACAAATAAGGAAACTGAGGAACAGAGAGGTTATGTAATTTGCTCAAGGTCATACAGAGAGTCAGGATTCAAACCCTGGCAATATGACTGCACAGCTTATGCTTTTTAATCACTTCATTCAAAGCCCAGACATAGAATTAATGTAAGATAACAGGCATTCACTCAACAAACATACCAGGTGCTACATTCTGTGCCAGGTACTACTATCCAAAAATCAAAACACAAACCTATAACCTTTAAGGAGCATCCAATATGGCGACTAGCAGCAATATACACCCTCAAAGTTATGACCCAAAACCTGTGCTATTTCTCTGGATAGAAAAAAAAGTTCCCTTTTTAATTACTGTCACACAAAAAATTATGGCATAGCTATAATTTCTTTATGGAATGAATTGAGGTTTCTATATTCTTTGCATAAACAGGAATAAAATTGTCACTGCACTTTGCTCATCTTTATGTTAAGATCTTTTAGGAACAGATAAAAACTATTTTTATATGATTGCTATATTATATCCAACATTATTATCAAAATGGGTCAAAAAAAAAGAATATATGGTCATTACTATTCATTCATTAAAGTACATCAACATTAAAAGTAACTCAAACAAGAAACAAAGGAAACTAGATACATGAGTCCTCTTTAGATACACCTAGATAAGAACAAACAACAACCCCGTGACAGGGTACATACAGATTTCTTGCCTCTATTTTGTTTGTTGGTGCGGGGGGAGCTGGTCTTTTCTTTCTTCTTCCCCCTCTTATGATAGTCTCAATCATTATTCCCCATTGTCTCCAATGCACAAGTAATAAGGGAGGTGGGCTTCTGACAACCTGAAAATATTTTATGAGCTTTAAGATAGGTCTACTCTCATTTACTCTGAAAGGACAGAATAGTAATGTGTTATCAAAACCAAAAGGCAATTGTGCATAATGTATATTTGTGTGTGTGTGTATACATACATATACATAATACATATGCAAAATGATTACGTTTAAGTAAAACATTACTTTTTTCAATTTTAACCATTTGTTTCAAAGAACTGCACTACTGAATACTAATAAATAATTTATGTAAATGAAAACCGAACCAGTAATCTAACAACTGAAGATTCTGCCTTTTTTTCTTTTTAAAGGAGAAACAGGTTGTTCAGAAGCCAAGTGAGTAGGTAAAAATAATGGAATAATTTTCAGTTCAGTTTGGGTGAAAGTTATTGTGAAGATAATTGATTTTTTTCATTCTTTTGCAATAAACAATGAAACCAAATGATAATGGCTATATGAAAAAATGTCAGTTGCTGTAAATGACCTTTTAAGAGCCAGTTGGCAGATAATTGATATGAAATTATTGGTTTTGGAAGTCTCATTAATATACATATGAATGACATTTCCCTTGATCCCTGTACAAAGGACCACCCAGTGCTCACCTGATTCTGTTTGTCTGCAGGCAACCCTTAGCATATGGCCGACACTTGCAGGTGTTCCCTCAAGGTCTGGTTTCTTCCCAATCCTTCTTTTCGTTGATTGCCTGTAATTCCCTCAGTTAAAAATGTGCATCCTTTACATATTTGAAGTTTATTTAGCTTTTCAAGTGCTGTGATGGTGACAGGTTGTAGGACCTGTCTTTGTAATTTTTTTTTTTAAGTGAGGAAATCTGAAGGTCCCTTGTAGTAGTTTCAGGAACATGGAATCTCTCATTTGCTTATGTACAGAACACTTTTACATTTGCTTTTAAATTCCATTTGTTGGCTTGTCACTTCGTGGGGAAAGAAAACTGTAGAGAAGCATCTTTTAAAATTATTACCTAACACCTGGCATTTAATTCAGATCATGTCTTATTGTGGTTCACATGTAACATTCCAAAGATGATATTTTCCTTCTTTCAGTCATTATGGAATAACATCAATGATTTTCATAGCAAAAAAAAAAATGCATTTCCTGGTTCTTTTCACCGCCTTAGATTCTCAGACCTAACTTTATTTGTGCGGTTTATTCAAATAGTGGTTTTCCTTATGAAATCACGTTAAGTAGGAACCATCTGGAAAGGTTACTGTGGAAACGGAAGGGGCTGGGGGTGGGGCTAGAGAGCAAAAGATGCCATGACAACCTTTTTCGGGTTTCCCAGGAAACATGGGTTGCTATGGGAACTGCATCAGTCAGGTCCGAATTAGTAACTTCTGCTGGAAGGGGTGTCTGCCACTTTAATCTTCTTTCGATACTGAAGAAGCTTATCTCTCACATGCATTAGGAAATTTTTTTGTTTCTCACCAGCACTGAAAACATCTGTTTTTAGACTTTGATAGATGTTGGCTGGGACATATGCATAAATTTCACCAGAATCTGTCAGTCCAAAGACTTTCAAAATGCATTGCAAGCCCCAAAGAGTTAAGGTAATTAGATCAGGACGTTTTGGGGTATTCCCTTTTGTTCAAAGTTGTAGAGACCTTTAAGATTCTGGGAGGAGAGGATTCATCTAGAAACTCCAGTCAAACACCAAACTTATGGTGGGTTTACAGTCATAGTTCCAGTTAAGACTTCTCATCCACATACCCAGCCGGTAGAAATTGAACTAAATATTTAATAAATAACGTTGAAGGGTCCACCAAACTAAAGCATCATTGAAGTTATTTGTCTTCTTTACTTAGTAAAGAAACAACTACTTTTAAATTTTGAGGTTAAACAGTTACTCCAACTGTTCTTTAGTTTCATTTCCTCCCAGGATGTACTTTTTTTTTTTTTTTTTAAATAGGGCATGTAACTCGAAAACAAGTTTAATGTAAGATTGTTGATCACAAAAATCAAGAGAGAGGGGGAGGGGCAAAAGGAGAGCTGAGAGAATGCAGCCCACCTGCAACACAGGCACCTGTTTCAGTATGAAGCAGTAGGGAGGGGGAGAATGAAGTGTGCTTTCCACTACTTCAGGTCCTTTCCTTGATGAATGGTCTGGAAATGTACAAAACAAGGGCATCACAGACCAAGGGGGCACGTTCCACACAATACTTAGCACAGTATGTCACTCGTATCTTATATTAAACATCGGTGAATATCTTTTTGATGTTCACACAGGAGTTGGGATTATTGTTCGTGGTGCAGGTGGCGGTGGAATTGCCCGTTTTGAAAGGGGTCTGGGGAAAAGCACTGTGGTTCATATCCCCCTCTTCGATCACCATATACTCCGACTTACTTAGAGTCGAGTTGCTCCGTGCTTTTCGGAGCTCCTCAGCTGAAGAGGAGAGGTGCTGGCAACTTCCCACGTGCATGTATTGGGCTTGCTCTTCCCCTTCTGTCTCCCGGTGGTAGAAGTAATTGAAGTTGGAAACAATAACAGGAACTGGCAATGCAATGGTCAAGACACCAGCGATGGCACAAAGAGACCCCACGATCTTGCCCCCTATGGTCACTGGGTGCATATCTCCATACCCGACTGTTGTCATGGTTACCACGGCCCACCAGAAGGCATCCGGGATACTACTAAAACCTGAAGTGGGGTCGTCTGCCTCGGCAAAGTAGACCGCACTGGAGAAAAGGATGACCCCAATAAAGAGGAAGAAGATGAGCAGCCCCAACTCCCGCATGGAAGCCTTCAGTGTCTGCCCCAGAATCTGCAGCCCCTTGGAGTGGCGGGAGAGTTTGAAGATGCGGAAGACCCTCACCAGGCGAATGACCCTGAGGATAGCCAGGGACATGGCCTGCTGTCCGTTGCCCTGTCGCTCAGCCAGCTCGGTGCCCAGGGTGATAAAATATGGGATGATGGCCACAATGTCTATCAGGTTCATGATATTTCTTGAGAACGTGGCCTTGCTGGGGCAAGCGAAGAATCGCACCAGCAGCTCAAAGGAGAACCAGATGATGCACAGGGTCTCCACCACGAAGAAGGGATCCGAGAAGCTGGAGGCTCCCGCGGGAGCCCCCGACGTGCTGTTGCTGGCCGCCTCAAGTACCTCCTGCGACGGCGAGGCCGGGTAGTCCTTCTCATCGCGGAACTCGGGCAGCGTCTCCAGGCAGAAGATGACAATGGAGATGAGGATGACGAGCACGGACACGATGGCAATGCCCCGGGCAGGCCCCGAGCTCTCGGGGTACTCGAAGAGCAGCCACACCTGGCGCTGGAAGTCGCGGCGGGGCAGGGGCCGCTCCTCCTCCCGCAGGAAACCCTCGTCCTCGCGGAACTTCTCCATGGCCTCCTCTCCCAGCTGGTAGAAGCGGATCTCCTCGGAGAAGATGTCGATGGGCACGTTGACCGGGCGGCGGATGCGGCCCCCGGATTGATAGTAGTAGAGGATGGCGTCGAAGCTGGGCCGGTTGCGGTCGAAAAAGTACTCATTGCGGAGCGGGTCGAAGTACCTCATGCGCCGCTTGGGGTCGCCCAGCAGCGTCTCTGGGAACTGGCAGAGGGTCTTCAGCTGCGTCTCGAAGCGCAGCCCCGAGATGTTGATGACCACGCGCTCCCCGCAGCAGTCCTGCTCGCCCGCAGCCGGCAGCGCGGGCGGGAGCGGCTCATAGCGGTCACAACCGCCTCCGCCGCCGCCACAGCCGCCCTGAGGCTGGCCTCCGCCGCCGTCCGCCGTCTCCGGCTCCTGCAGGTGGTCCCCGGGCACCACCGTCATGTCGGGCGGCAGCTCGGGGCCTGCGGCGAGCTCGGCGTAGCCGGGGTTCACCAGAGTCTGGGCGCCGCCGCCGCTCGCAGGGTCCTGGGGAGGGTGGGTGCGGTGGTGGGCGAAGGGCTGCGGCGGCGAGTGCAGAAGGCTGATGTGCTCGTCCATGCAGTGGGGAAGAGGCGGCGGTGGCGGGGCCCAGTCGCTCCTCCTCGCGCTCCCCGCCCTTTCGCCGCCTCCGCCCCCTCCGTCCCCGAGCCCAGCCCGCCGCCTGTTGCTGCCGCCGCGGCGAGGCTCCGTCTGGGTCTGGCGCTGTGCGCCCGGCAGCTCAGCAGAGACGCCTCCTCACCCCTCCTCCGCCCCCTCCCGCGGGGCGCGCGCCCGCCCATCCGCGTCCCCCAGGACTCCCGCCCACCGCGCGGGCGCGCGCCCCGCTTTCTTGGGGAGCCGCGGGCCTGTCCTTCTCGGCCGCCCTTATCGCAGCTCTGAGTCACCGAAGCACCCTCATTTTGCACCTTGAGGTCCCCCGCAACCCCTGCCCGGCCAAACTGACCCTCGGGGAATTCAGCCGCAGACCTTGACCCCTGGACTCAGCATCCCCCCCCTCCTCCCGCGCGGTTCGCGTGGCGGTGTCCCAATCCCCAGGCTTCTGCAACTGCGGCAGGGACCACACCTCCGCCTGAAAGCGTAGGCCTCTTGGTCCCCTACTCTCCACCTAGGTCTGCCCGCCTGGGGGAAGCAGGTACCTCAGAGCCGAAGTAGCCGAAGCTGGGGGCTGGGGGAGAAGGGAGACCAAGAAGTGACCCCTTGCCATGGCCTGAGCATTAAGGAGGGAGGGAGTGCAGGCCAGGTGAGCTCCCTGGGCAGGAGGCAAGTCTAGCGCCAGCATCTTGAGCTCACTTGAGGATAGAGGACCGACCGCCCAGACCTGAGGTGGGTGTTCTAAATAATTTAACTTCTGTTTGGATGTGAAGCCAAACGAAGTAATAGGTGCTGATGGGTTTCTCCCCTGGAGTCTGAAAGAAGTGGGTCATGAAAGGCATTTGGGGATTTGCTCCTGTAGTGAATAGTTAACGCGGGACAGACTCATGACCAAATTACTGGTTTGGGATTAGCAGGGGCAGTGGACTTTAGAGTACTTGAGAATTTCTTGTAGATGGGAAAATAAAAGGAAAAATAGAAAAGGAAATTCACTACATCTAATTTGTGTGGTTAAAAATCCCCACTCTGTGACTTAAGCCTGTCCTGGAAAGGACAGGAGCAGGACCTATGCCTAGACTCTACTTATTAATGTGCTACCACTGTCCTATGGTAGGGAATCTGCCTTGGTCTAGTGGGTCAAGAGGGTGAACATTCATTTTGCAAATTGTGTCACTGTTGCTGGATTTGGGGCCAGAGATAACTTACATTTATCCATTTGGAACTTAAACTACTTTTCTCCAAATTATTGTGGTCACTTAGAGCACAATTTCTTTCTCCAGAAATTTTATCGACCCCAGTGTACGTCAATCCTAGTCTTACAAAAGTCTTTCGTCCTGTTGTGTCATTCAAATCATTTACAAAAGAGGAACTGTTGTCTAGAGAACTCATCCATCCAAAGTGAGCTGAAAATTCGATTTGAAGTAAGAGTGATTCATGGTCATGCCTTCCCACCACTGCTCTCAATGGCCAGGCTTTCTAGGGTAAAGAGTAGGTAGGTCTTACCCAATTTCAGTTCCTAGCAACTGTGAGAATGCCTTGGAAATAGTAGGAACTTGGCATATGTTTGTTGAGTTAAATTCTCCACCAAATGATTCTTTGCATTTCTTTCTGCTCAAGGAGGCAACATTCCTTTTTGTGTTTAGGACCCTACTGAGAATTCTGGGATAAAGAATAAGGGGAAGCATCTCACGCTACAATACCTTAATCAGTTATTCCAGAGTTTCCACCTTTGGCTCTTCTGAGCACAAACAAGCACCCATGCTCTTTACTATGCCTAAGCAGTAACATATGTTGTGAAATGGTGAATCTGGACAACTGTGTAAAATACTCTCACGCAAATCTCAGAACAATGCTTTATGTGACAGTCACTTCATTATTTTACATATATTTTTTGAGCTGGCAGCTGGGATAGCAGTATAATCAATCATTCATATATTTAAATCTAAGAATGAGCCAGACTACTTGCTACAAGGATAGCTCACAGAAAGGCAAAGACCCTATTTTTAAAGACCAAATGTTTCATGCACTTCTGTGTCTGATTTGGAAAGTGATTTATTCTTCCTTTCGCAGGAATTAGTACTGAAATTAATATTAATCAATGGCAAGAAGACCAGAGCAGAGGATGGTCCTGTGATGGATGGTCACAAGCTGTGACCTGCTGCGAAGTATCTCTCCTTTAGAAATGAATATTTCCATTCCTTTCATGTATTTGCCTTGTCTGAAAGACTCTGCTTATGAGCTTCTTAGGATGGCTCTTTAGATTTGAGGCCCAGAGAAGTTTTTGCAATCTGTTCAGCTCACATAGCTTGATAGTGGCAGAACTGGGTCTAAAGTATTGGATCATTTCCAAATCCAGCATTTGCTTTACTGTATCACACTGTGAAACTCTTAGGTTGATCACTTAGTAAATACTGGATGTCTAACAGCAGCCTATTTGCTTCTGATTGCCAACTAGTTCGTTTCAATTCAAATTTATTTTAACTGAAAACCACTGCCTTCTGAGGGCTACTCTGTTGTCTATAGGAAATGAGTTGGTGGGTGCATTCCAGCCCTGTTGGACAGCAGAACCCATCACAACAAATCAGTGTCAAAAATGGCATTTCAAAAGGAACACATACTATTTATTTAGTACCTCCAACAGAGTAGCTCAAAGTGATTTGAAAATGTCTCATTAATCCTCATGACACCCCTGTGGGATAATAATAATATTATTATAATGTTTAAGGGCAGAATTGTGGCAAAGCAAACAGCTTCTCTGAGCATGTGCAGGATTGTCTCATATTTCAGTTGTTGATATTACAGACTAAGTAAAGCCATCAGGTTTGCAGTCAGCCAGGGTAAATGTTGGTGTTTGGCCTTTCTATATTACTCCAGGCATATCTGGGGCTTCTTACTGACCACAACAGAACTAGTTCCCCAGTTGCCAGATGGTAAACAACATCTGGGATTAGTCCAAAAGTGATTGAGAGTGAGACAAGGCAGACCTAGAGATCCTAATCCACAATTATAGAAAAACGAATGGAGAAAGAGTACTCACTATGCCCCAGGTTCTGTGCATTATTAACTTTTAAGTATAGACCTTGCTCTCAATAGAGTTTCACAGAGTTGAGAAGATAGGATATAAATCTGTGAAAAATTTTACAATGCTCTTATAGTACAGAAATGTCATAAAACAGCCCACTACCATTCTGTTTATTCTAGACAAACTGGCTGCCTTGCTGTTTCTCAGTCATACCAAGCTAGTTCCTGTTTCAGTGCCTTCACATTTGCTTTTCCCTCTGCTTGAAACACTCTTCCTCCAGATTTCAATTGGCTCTCTCCAGCATGTTAGCTCTTCAAAATATCACTTCATTAATGATGCCTTCCCTGACCGTGACCACCTGATTGTAGATAGTACTCCTTCCTTCCCCTCTCCCCCAGGTCTCTTACCTCTTTATTTGTCCTCATTTAGTTACTTGAAATTATTTTTTATGTTTATTTTGTTCCTTGCTTATTGACTGTCTCATACACTAAAATATAAACTTCCCAATGGCGGAGTTTTGAATTTTCATATCTGTATCCTGCAACTCTAGAACAGTGGTGTGGCACATAGTGAATGCTTAATATTATGTTGAATAGGGAAAGAAAAAGCACAGGGCAAATATATAAGGTGTGTTAAGGTACAGTGGATGATCTAGTTTTGCTGATGGAGAGGAGTTCATTTGGAAAGGTATTGGTCCAGTTCTGGTTGTATTTCGTGGAGCTAGCTGAATGGTGCAGCTATGTAAGCATTGCTTATTACTTCTGAAAGTGCAACATTCTTCCATTTTTTTTCTCTACTTTCTCTTCTCCCCACTATCCCAAATGAGTCTATCCTGCACTCCAGAATTGTATTTTAAACTTCTCACTTAATTTCTTAATTTTAAACTTCTCACTTAATTTTAAGTATCTGCAGATACTTAAAAATATTTATAGCATTTAACTCATTATCTTTCTCCCCAACTTGCTTCTCTTCCTGCTTTTCTTATTTTATGCCAGAATATGAGTCATCCCCACATCCTTCCTCTGCCCCTATGTCCAGTTGGTCACTGAATGCTTTTCATTCCCCCCTCCATGTCCCTATCAGTTCTGTCTTTACTCACTGCCATTGCCCCAATTCAGGCTGCCATAGTAGTTTCATAACAGACTCCCTGCTTTCAACCTCTTTCATGTGTCTCAACCTACAGGATGTAGCTGAGTTATTTTTGTGTATCTTAGACTTGATCACATTGTTCTCCAGGACTGCCATCATGGCCACATCTGGCCCCGACCTGCCACCATTTGCCGGGCTGGACAGGTCATCCACGTATATGCAGCCAGGCCTTTCCTCAAGGTTACTGCTTATGCTCTGGTTTGCTGGGTATTCCCACCTTTGTCCCACTGGTAAATTCAGTCTATACATCCCAGCTTAGAGGTCATTTCTTTTGAGAGCTCTACCCTCTCTGTCAGCCATGATTATCACTTCAAAGAAAATTCAATAAAGCTGATTATACATGAATTCAGTGATATTCTTTCTCACCAGAGTTCTTATGGCAGTTTGTTCATAGTTCCGTTAAAGGGCTTTGGTGCACTATATTTAGGTCTTCCTATGAATATATGAACTCCATAATACTAATAGCTGACATATTGGGCATTGAATGTGCTGTGCCAAGCTGGGCACTGTGCTAAGCACGTTATATGTAGTAGACTCCAGCAGCCCCACAGGGCACATTATGTCACTACTCTACCATATCACAGGTACAGAAACTTAAGTGCAGAGTGGTTAAGTCACTTGTGCCTAATCACACAGCGAGGAAACAAACACAGAGGAGTCCACATCCTTAAGCCATGCGCCAGGCCACCTCTGGGAGGATTAGATACCTTGTCGTGTTTGTCTCTCTATTTCCAGTCTCCAATATTGTACTGATCTAGGAGAAATGCTTTTCAAGTAGTATGACAGAAGAAAAATGATTTTTATGAAGCATGAATATTTATTCAGTAAAAAACTGATCGTCCATGATGGAGTTTTTCCTGTTCCACAATAAAAAGGCTATAAATGGACCTTCCTGAACTTGTACTATTTTTTTAATAGATGCTAGATACAGAGAGAT